CCCTGGGCACCTGTCTCTGCCCCTCCTTCGTCTCCCACTCACTCGGGTACCTCAGCCTGACCGTCCTTTGAGGGACCCCCTCCAGCCCGTGGGCAGTCCTGGGGGAGCTGTTAGTCACATCAGACCTGGCCTCTTTCACACGGGGAGAGGCCGAGTGACAGGGAGGCTGAGCGGCTACGGTGACACTGGGGGGGGTCCTTCCTCCTGCACGACACCACGCGCAGAGAGACGTGTGCACCCTGCAGCTGTCCAGCTCTGAGCCCACACAGGCGGTGGGACCCGCAGACAAGACGCTACTGTCCAGTTCTGCAAAGACACGGAGGCACACAGCCCCGGATGCCATCCATAGCTGTGGCGTTACGTGGAGAGACCGGTTTTACTCTCTGTAACCTAAAAACACTGCTTCTCACGTGTCCTGGGTTGCATTGCTGTGTCCCCAAGTTCCTATTGCTAATATAAAGCCAGGAGGGACTTAATGATGAGACCCGTGAGGGAGACTCCCTGGCAGAGCTCGCTGACCCCCCTCCGCTTGCGCCCCTGGAAGGCTGCGGGGGAACAAGGTTTCCTGTTGGAATGCGAGGAAGGCAGCGGAGGAACACACGGTGCACATCGCCGCTGCCAGCTCTGGGCGTGGAGGGTGACAGCCTCTGAATCTCCACGTGATTTCCGCTGAGGGACGAAGGGATGGGACTGACTGAGGGACGGGGGTCCCGCCCCACTCCTCCAAGCCTCTCCCTGGCGACTCGACCCTCGGACCCTCGGACCCTCGGACCCTCGGAACAGGAGCTGGTTCTGCTCCGGTTCGCTCTCTGCCTCTGGGACCTTGCTTGGGTCTCAGGTGTCTGCGCGGCTCCCGTGTGCTTGGTCCGTGTTCCGGAAGCCGTGTGACTGAACAGCTGCTCCCCACAGGGAGCCGTCCCCTCTCCTCGGGTCCGGGAGCAGTTAAGGGTTGAAGGCTCCCGGTCCCGATCGTCCCGGCGGCCCAGCATGCCGGCCCTCACTCATGCTGTCTCCCGTGTGCACCGAATCCTCGCTCTCCCACACGGCAGGTGGCTCGGGGTAACAGCAACTCTGCCGCGGTGGTAACTCCGGCTTTTCTGCTGTCAGGGCTGCACCAGTTTCCCCAGCTTTCGTTCCACCCGAACGTCTAACCAGGAGCCTGTGCGCCTGGGCTCGGGCGTCGACTTGCTTCCCGTCCAGGCCTTTCTGCGTCTGCTGAGCCCCCAGCCCGTTTCCACTGTTTCTGGGGGGATTCCCTGGAGACGGGCCTGTGAGGGGCCGGGGGCTTGGCCCATCCTCGGATACTCAGTATCACGACGTGAGCCCTGGACGTCCCCTCAGACATTGCTTTGTGCAGTCCTGACTTTACAGACCAAGTAGCTGCGTCTCGGGCCCTGGAGACGAGCTGCTCAGCATCCCACGGCAGGCCAGACTCGGGGGGACAGAAGCACGGCTCACAGCCGGCCCCGAGTGACAGTGCTGCCCGCTGCTCCACCGTCTCAGCCCCAAACCCAGATGCAGGGAGCTGTGCTCATGGAATCCTCTTCCTCCTCGTTGAACCGCTTGCTATTTGAGACTAGCGCTGGTCAAACGGGCGGGAACCGTGCCTTTCCCGGGCTCGGAGCACCGAGCTCGGAGCACCGCCGAGCTCGGAGCACCGCCGGGCCCGGCTGTGAGCCCAGTGATGGCAGGGACCCAGGACTCTCACAGGGAGGCCTGTCCTTTGGCGACGGAGGAGGAGGTAGTTGGATTCCCCCTCGGGCGGACAGCACCGCCTTCTGGGAAGCGGGGCAATCTCTGACTCCTGCCGCTCTTCCCCGCCCCCGTTTGCTCTGCTGAGAGGGCTGCCGGCCCTGGTTCCGCGTGCGGGTCTGTGCCCGTGCGCGGGCAGTCTCTGATGTAGCTGCTTTTCCTCCTGAGACGTTAGCATCCCACTCGGCTGGGAGCCCCAGGAGCCCGGTTCCCCAGCTTCCGGCCAGCTCGCAGGCTCAAGGGTCCTCCATCAGCAGCCACTCCACCAACGCCTTTAGGGGCCCACAGGTGCTCAACACACCCTTCTCGCGGCCCTCTCTACCCACCACATGTGGGCACCTGCCTGGGAGCACAGCCCATGAGCAGAACCAGGAAGGCAGAGGCCACCCGAGCCTCAGTCTTCCCCTGCAGTCCTTCATTTCAGGCACGACCTGCACACTGATGATGGGGCGGGGGTGCGGCAGGGGCTCAGGGGCTCCCCTCCCCGTCCTCCAGGTTGGAGGGAGGGCCCGGCAGGAGCTAAGTGTCCCTTTGCTGGGGGAAGGATGGCCTGGGCCCTGGGAGAAAGCCTCACTCTGTTGGACCTCCACCCTGATCTAATAAAGGTGGTGTCACTAAAGGTGTGTCATGAGTAAAGGGTGGGGCCTGAGGCAGGGGAGGGCGCACGTGCAGCCAGGCTGCCACATCGCTTCGGTGCCCACGCAGCGTGCCTGGCTGGTGCCCCCTGGCCTGGGTCGCTGTGCCTGCACTGTCTTTGGATCATGTTTCCACAGTGGCTTTGGTTCCTGTGGCTCTTTGCTTGGCAACCACTCTGGCTTCTGGTCCAGGGAGCTCGCCCCTGGGGTGGCCCCTGGACTCCACCCCCTGACCTCTGACTCCCGGGGCTGAGCGAGGCTTTCTTTTGCAATCCTCTAATCCCTCACCTGAATTTCCCCGTGGCTTACTTTACCGAGGGCTGTGAGAACCTGCGAGCCCACCCAGGAAGCTTCTCCAATCCAGCAGGAGTTCCCAGCCCCACCCCTGGAGCCTGTTACAGAGACAAGACTGCTCCAGCCCAGCAGGGGGCCCCAGCCAGCCTCTGAGCCACCTGGGGAGGCGGCAGCACGGTCTCCTGTGCGTCATGAACCGACAGCTCCAGCTCTCGAGCTGAAGCTGGAATTCAAACTGGTCACCGGTAAACCTTCCCATCTGGGCCTCCCCGTAATTCCAGCAGCTACGACGGAGGCTGGACGTCGCACGGCTGCAGCAGACGTGCAGGGGAACCCAGCCAGCCTCCCGAGCCACCTGAGGAGGTCACGGTACAGCCTGCATGGGATCGGGCTGCAGCAGTTCCAAGTGCAGCTCAGGGCTCTAGCTCAGGACCCAACGTTGCCCCGCAGAGTCGGGGCCCAGGCCTCGAGGCTGCAGCGCCGGGAGTGCCCCGGCCCCTCCCCGCCCACTCCGGTGTCTGGTGAGCTAGGAGGCGGGGCCGCGGCTGGCAGCGGGGGTGGGGGGGAGGGAGGGCCAGATGCAAGTGGACGAGGGCACAGCAGCCCTCCCTGTGACCCCAAACCTGTGGTTGCCTGGAGGCTGCCCTGCTTCAGGGCCCTCGCCCTCCCCAGCCCAAGCCCCGCGCCACCCTGACCCTAGCCTTCCGCCTGCGCTGTCACTGCTGGCCCGTCCCCTCTATTTCCCACCCATGACCCGGCCCCGGCCCCAGCCCCAGCCCCAGCCCCAGCCCCACCCCCAGTCGTGCGTAAATGCGGCCTCACCCTGCCCCGGGAGGGAAGGAGAGGGTCCCCCAAACACCCCGCCCTCTGCCTTGCCTGCGGCTGACCACCTGGGGCTGGAGAGGAGGGCGTCGAGCTGTGACCCCCACCCCGAGGAGGTGAAGGCTACCGGGACCTGCCCTTTGGAGACACGATGGCGTGGGCACGTGGGCAGAGGCTGCCGCAGTTAACCCTGCGTCACTGTGAAGAGGACAGTCCCAAGGGTTTGAAACGCAAAACCAGACGTCACCTCTGGTCTTTCTGGACTGAACTTCCACAGGGCTTCACTCAGCACCTGCCGACTGCAGGCGCGGCCTGGGGGCCTCCAGTTTGACGCCACGCTGCGCCCCTTTGTGACTGTGTTTTCACCCCGGCAACCTCTGGCCTGTTCTTGTGTTCTTCTTCTCTAAATTATAAACCTACATCCCAAATATCTTCCCCCTCAGTCATGCCCTGCAGGTACGATTTAAGAGGCTGGTCATCCGCCCAGCCACTTCCTAAACTCTGCCACCCTGGGCCAGCTACTTGGCCCCCGTCTCAGTTTCCTCACTTGTGACTGGGTATGACAGTCGCCACCTGAGAGCACACTGTGCTGATCAACTGGCCGAGGCGCCTGGTGCGCAGCACGCACTAAGGGAGTGCGGGCCATGAGGCGCCCTCTGGCCTCGGGGTCGGGCCACGTGCTGCGCACGCAGCGGACGCCACTGCGTGTCTCTCGTGCCTCCTGCGAGGCCGTGGCTGTGTCTCACCTCTGCACCTCTAATACCTCACCCAGCGCGCAGAGGGCGCTCAGCAAGCTGCTAGCCGGCCCTGAGGAGCCCGGGTCGCGGAGGAAGCCAGTGTCGAGAACGGTCCCCACACCGGGGCCTCCGGCAGGAGGGCGCGCGTCCCGCCCCGCAGCTGCTGGGA